TGCATTGTTTTCATGGTCTGTGGACATAATTATATGAATAACGCCCTTAGGCCCCCTTATTAGGGACTTTGTTGTGTATTATCCACTGCATGTATATGAATTTAGTTCAGTTTGAAGAAATTCAGTAAAACAAAGGCTTTCAGGGCCGCCGAGAGGGAGGGGGGGGCAGGGGGGGGCAAATATCCCCGGGCCCCGAGGTGCTGGGGGTCCCTGAAAAAATTTTGTTGGGCCCCAGTTTTTTTTGCCGGTGTGTTAAATATTTCCGCGCAAAGGACAAGATATCTGTTTTCTTGGGCATAAAAAAATGAGATAAAGTCCCTGGAAAGCAATTGCAACGTAGTCGTCCGGAAAAATTTTTACTCCGGAAAACATTTCTTGACCCCTAAAATGGTACACAGACCGAAATTTTTTGGCGACGGGGGGGGGTTATGGTTAAAAACGCTTCTGCTGAGCAAATTTGTAGTTTCACTGGTCGCGTCTTGACATGTTTGCGTTGTACACAAGACGTGAAAATCTCTGGTTTGCCGTTGTAAAAAGCCCTAACACAACGCCTCTAACTCCCGTGGGGCTTTTAATTATTCATTTCTTTTGTACCAGATCAGGAATATCATTGTGTGAATAGCCGTCGTCGTCGCGTTGCCGTCCTGTTTGCTTAAGGTCCCTAATATTTATCTCCCAACTCCATGCAGTGTCTTTCATTTTTCAGTCTTCCATCCAGTGTCTTTCATTTTTCTTGTATATCGTTATAATTTCCCTGGCATCAGTCCTATCAAAGGTGTTTAGTTTAAACGGTGGACAAGCAAAAATTTTGAAAAATACCTATTCATCTTGTAAATAATCATAAACTTGTATTTTGTCAACTAAATGTGTAGTTCATTGCATAGTTGTTTTGTTTGAGCAGAAAAAAATAGTTTGGTGCCTAAAAGTAGAACGACCGTCAAACAAAATTGATTTTAGTTTTCTTGTGTAGAAATTTACTGTAATTCTGACCACTAGCCAGTGACGGGAAAATAAATGCGCAGTTGTTCTTTAGTGACGAATTCCGTACGTTCAATTACTTCAATAGACAACGTTCAATAGATCGAGGAGGCAGACGTGAAAAATGACATGAAATGAATGGATTCGAAATGTCGGGGCATATATATATATATATATATATATATATATATATATATATATATCTGATATATATCTCGATCTAAATTTATCTGCTGAGACGTTCTTCACAATGAAGCCCGATGTCTTAAAATCTTAGTCTTAGAAATTTAAGCCATTTGGTTTTTATTTGACAACCTTAATTATCGCGTATAAAGGTCTATATTCCTTTTAATAAAGTCGATCATGTGCTCCCCCGTCAGTGTTGAATAAAGATTTTGAAATAAGAACACTCAACATCATCTAGTAATAATAATGTTTTTTATAATAATAGCATTTGTAAATTCTCGACGCTGATTGGCTAACAGCTAGCTGTCCCGCCGCTTGTAAAAGCTTTTAATTTATAGTGTTGTCCTCTATATTCTTTGTGCTATATCATAAAAAATATAAAACATTTTTCGTGTTGATATTTGGTTATATCAACACTCGTGGAAATTGGAAAATATCGAAATTGTGTGGAATTTCACGTTTTTTTTCAATTTCCACTCGTGTTGATATAACTGTATATCAACACGGAAAATGTTTTATAATTCTTAACTATGGCATGGATGACTAGCTGAATTTCTATTTTAGAAAACCGCAACGGCCACCAGTCAAGACAACAGGAGTCTGTTGACTAGGTGTTTACTCGTCCTTGAAAAGTGATTAATAATTGATCCGATCTGGGAAGAATCGAAACAGTATGTTTAACATAATTCCAAAATATAGTGGGCACAAACTACAATAACTAAGCCGTTTCCAGTGTTGTGAAATTCGCGGTAGTCTGCTTGTTGTGTTTCATTCGGCTGCAAAATAACTTTGCAGACCCACGCTAAACTGGACGGGTTGTCAATGCCTGTTTTCAGGATATGATTTCCGCTCTGGTGTTACAGAAACATAGTCAATGTAAAATTAAAATCGTAGCGGTCTGCTGTTCCCTGTAAACTCATAAAATATCGTTCCTTTTCAATAGTGTAAAAAGATGTTCATTGCGGGAAACGCAAGATGTCTTCTATATTGAAAAAAAATAAAAAGTCGCTACTCCAAGAAGAGAAATTGAATATGTTCTATTATAAATATTATATATTATATTCGCATCAGATCACCATGAAATTTACACAGCGATTCTGAGGGATATACCCCATCGACCGGCGGAGTTAGATTTTTGATTTTTTGATTTTGAGAAAATTTACGAATTTTAGATTGTACCGTGGAACACAAATATTCATACCATTAATATTCATAAGACAAATGCAAGCCAAAGCAAAGTCGTGCCAATTGCTTTGTTCTTAACACAATAGTGTAGTCATGGCCTAATGACTGAGCGTTACTTTAGGGAGTAAATACACAATATATACCAGTGCGTTCATTTATGTACGGCATAACCAGTCACCTTTAGTGGTTATGCCGTTGACTGTCTTCGGTATAACCATTCAACTTGGATCCAAGTTAACTGGTTATGCCGAAGACAGTCAACGGCATAAGCATCCAATAGGTCAAAGTTGGGTGGTTACGTCATTGAATGTCTTCGGCATAACCATTGAACTTAGATGTTTATGCCGTTGAATATGTTCGGCATAAATAGTCAAATGTCAACGGCATAACCATTGAATGGTTATGCCGTTGACTGTCTTCGGCATAACCATTCAACTTGAATGGTTATGCCGCCGACTGTCAATGGATTCAGTGTTAGTTTTGTATTCCCAGTTTGATGATTCGATCGCCGGGTTTTTTGATTCCCAGCTTAAAGATTCGGGGCTTTTTCGATTCCTGATTTAAACGATTCGGGGTTTTTTCGGATTCCCAGTTTAAAGATTCGGGGGTTTCCATTCCCAATTTAAAGATTTGGGGGGTTTTCGATTCTTGATTTAATAAAAGATTCGGGGTTTTTTCGATTCCCAGTTTAAAGATTCGGGGGTTTTTGCATTCCGGATGTTAAAGATTTGGTCCTTTTCCGATTGCCAAGTTTAAAGATTCGGGGTTTTTTTTATTCCTAGTTTAAAGATTTGGGGGTTATTCGATTCACAGTTTAATGATTAGTGGGGGGTTCCGATTCCCAGTTTAAATGATTCAGGTGTTTTGGGATTCCTATAGTTTAAAGATTCGGAGGTTTTGCGGCGATTCCCAGTTTTAAGATTCAGGGCTTTTTCGATTCCTGAGACGAAGCCGAGTATCTTTAAGTCTGGTAAAACACGCACTGCGAATGTTTTAAATTGATTCATTGGCGAAGTACTATTTAAAGTGTTTTATCAGATATAAAGTTACCAGGCGAAGCAGAGTATTTTTAGGTCTGATACAGTGGTGTATTGTGGGAGGGGGGGCTCAGGGGGCTGAGCCCCTCTCGTTAAAATTTCATGTCAACTTGGGGGGCTAACCCCCCCTATAATTTTTGCCTAATCTTAATTAAACAAGAATGTTCTTTATAGAATTGCATCAAAAAGTGGTGAGAAACCTTGAATTACATACCTTTTTGAGACGCTCGGAATATTTTATATTACTAACGGCAATTATTTTTAATAAGCATAATTTCGAATGTTTGTCCCACAATTATTAGAAAAAAAACCCAACAAAATTAAGAATTTCCAAATTATCATGTTGTAAACACCCGCGCCAGTTCAGGACACTTTTGGAGAACAGGCCTAGGACTAAACTACCCGGGTGGGTGTGTGGGGGAGGGAGGTGGGTGACACCCCCTGTCTCTATCTTATCTCTTTCTCTATAATAAAAGACTCAAACAAAAGGAAAACCTTAACACGATTCAATTTAAGTAACCATAGCCTTCAGATTGAAACTGGTAGATATCATAATGTAGCCCGAGAAGAACGACTGCATGTGTAACCTTTGTCACTCGGGACTCGAAAATGAGTCTCACCTCCTCCTCACTTGCGAGGCTTACGGTGACACTCGAGTAAACTTTATAAACAGTCCAAAAAATGATTTCACTACTACTGAGACAAACGTAAACGAACCAACTTTATCAGTTGACATACTGATGAAGTCAACCGCTAGTGACACCATCCTGAAATTATCGAAATTTATTTTTTCGTGTTTTGAGTAAAGACTTAAACAACTTGAAGCCGGGAATGCTGGTAGTCATTAGTTAAACTTTCCATCCTGTAAATAGTATCTTCTTATAGTCTACTTCTTAAATATTTTTATATGTTACATTGTTACGTTATAGTAAAGCTTTAGCAATACCTGTAAAATATGGTCATGCTAACAAAGCGATTATCAATTATCGGGCAAATTTGAAATTAAGTCGGGCAAATTTGAAAATATTTACGTGTCTCAGATTGAAAAGTATAATAGCGTATTCTATCTTATTCTTTTGTCAGCGTCATAATCAAACCAATCACAGAATATCTTCCTAGAGCTTCGTGCCGACTCACATTATCTGGAGTGGGTGGGTGGAGTAATAACATGATTCGGAGTTATTTGTGGCAGCATGAATATGGATGTGGCCCTTATTGTACGAGATCAAGCACTCAAGTTTCTATTTGTTACTAGTGTGAAAACAACAAATAAACAAAGTAGCTGACACAGATCCTCGACTCCAAAATGAAAACCAAGAATACGGGTAAAACAGCAGACAGTGCCCTGGGAATCTAACCCAGAAACCTTAAACCGTTTCTCTTGACACCATCTCGAAAATTGTCGTAGAAATCCAATTTTTTTTGGGTAAAGGAAATTGACGTTTTGTTTTTGTGAACGCTTGTAGGCCACGGAAAATGTAAAGAATATTTTGAATCTTTGCCATATTTAAAGCGAGTCCAGCAGTACGGTTTTAGGTCCCGAAACACGGGCACTGTTTTTTGTTTCGAGGGAAACCGGGCATTGCCCGGAGGAAAACCCTCCGAAATTTTATACCGGAGAAAATGTATGGGAGAAGATATACCGGAAGAAATGCAGCCGAAGGAATCTATGTCAGCCCAAAAAACGCAGCCCATGCATGTCAGCCGGAATTAGTGCCGGATACTACAATATACTATACTATTATTTGCGCAAACGTCGCCATATTGATACCGTTACAAAATCGTCGTCCACCTAAGTTTACCGAATGCCCTGAAGAAAAAAGCTTCTGCTATCTCACGACCAGAGATTAAGCGACCATCTAGAGATGGGGTGCAAAAGTTAGTGCACATACATATATCCCTGCTAGCACCGATTTTATTCACGGGGAGGGCAAAAATCCCGCTAGCAGGGATATTAAGAAAATAATGCATACTCACTTTCAAAAAAAAAATGATCTTGTGGTATTATCGAAATATAATACCCGTCAGGGCAAAACGGCATAACGCCCTAGCGCGAAAAAAACGCGCGTAAAGATAAAAACTTTGTATTGCATTTATTGCGGTCAAAGCATTTTTCTTCCACGCGCTTTTTCCAGCGCGGTACGCCAAACAAGCTTCACAAATTGTGAAACAAGTTCCATGCGCACGCCTAATCTGCGAGGCAGCGTCGTAATTTATTTTTTCTTTTTTCTTTTTTTTTCTCTTTTTCTTTTTCATTTTTTTTTAGTGCGCGTCCGTCTCCAGAACAAATTTTTGCAAATTGCGAATATTTGCTCGAAAACGTAGTTCATTTATAAATCTTTAATTTTAAGACGATATACGAATCCATACGAATTCGTAGAGAACTAACTAACATTATTAAAATAAAGCGCGAATTAAGACCTTATTAGCGTATGCAGCGCACAACCAAGTTCACGGATACCATGTTCCCGCGCAGAAATTTGAGGACGTGCTTCACAATAGACAAAGTATTCATGAACTTAGCCGTTCCTGGCGACTTTCACATGAAAACCGAACGCTTCGCAAGGTCTATTAAAAAACTACGCTTGTATTCCAGAGTCGGAGTGAAACAAGAAATAAATTTTTCCAAATATTTTTTTTTTTGCAAAGTGTTTTTGACACACACGAAATAGTAGGTAAAATTTCAAGCACTTTTTTTTTAAGGCTCAGTAATTAAAGCGTAATTTTTCAATGGACCAAAACTCCAAAGACTAAGACATACATGTATTTCATTTTGAAATCGATGCGATGTACTTAGTGCTTTGTAGTTACGTCATGCACAGACCATGCACAGACCATGCACAAACCATGCAAAAAACCATGCAAAAAACCATGCACGAACCATGCAAAAAACCATGCACAAACCATGCAAAAAACCATGCACAAACCATGCACAAACCATGCAAAAAACCATGCAAAAAACCATGCACAAACCATGCACAAACCATGCACAAACCATGCACAAACCATGCAAAAACCATGCACTGACAAACCCATGCACAAACCCATGCACAAAACCATGCACAGACCATCATGCGTCAAATTAGATCAGCTACGTTTAGACGCTCAGGTAAAAGTACAAAACGCAAAGTACAAAACAAATAAATCTTATAATATAACCCGCGAGTTTTAAACCATGTTTAAGCGCGCATGCATCGCAACGTAGCCAACCCAAATATACCGGAATAAGAGCACCAGGATAATTAGTACCCAGAATCCAGACTATGATAAAAAATAAATAGAACTACTTTACACAGGATTCTGAGCACGCGTTCTGGCATAGCAACATATATACACCTTCAAAGATTTACCGGGAGTTAGTCGTCAAACCGTAATTTTACACGTCGCGTCATCGTAGTTTCAGCGTCGTCTAAGGTAGGACGTCGTCATCGTAGCCTCAACGTCGTCTGGAGTCGAACGTCATCATCAGACTTGATTGCCATGGGTACTCTTTCTTATGCAAACGCAAAGTTTCCGAAGAAACCGAGGCTGTCAACTCAAGTTGATTTTCTCCAGAAGCCAGCTAAGTATTTATGGGTGTGTGAGCAAGCGAGTCTGGGTACGAATACAGACATCTAAGCAACAACGTCATTAGTGGTTTAAAGCAGTTAGACCTCTTTAAAGAATGGATAGTGAAAACATTCTAGCAGAACGCTTGGACGAAGAACAGAAGGTCTAATCCTGCATACAAGTTCTCAGTGACCTAAAGTTTATGGTAGTTGTAGGTCTGTGTGAGCAGTCCAGTGATTTTCCAGCTCAGTTTCTGCAACTGGAGCATGCGCAGAACGATTGATAGCGATATCGATTTCCCGAGGCTTCCAGTTGAAATGCCCCTTCCACCAGACTCGAACAAAAAGCACGCATATAGGAAGGCGCCTTTCCAACGTACTTCTCCATCAAATCTGAGGGCAGGGACAACTCGCGGGAAATCACGTGAAATCAACATCGCTATCAACCGTTCCGCGCATGCTCTAGTTGTAGAAACTGAGCTGGAAAATCACTGGACTGCTCACACAGACCTACACTACCACAACCTTCAGATCACTGAGAATTTGTACACGGGATTCGGCATTTCGTTCTTCGTCCAAGCGTTTTACCTGAATGTTTTCAGCATCCATACCTCATTGAAGTCTAACTACCTCAAATCACTGCTGACGTCACCACTTAGGTGACTATATTCGAAAAACCTTGCAGTGTTTGATTAATCCGGAGTACCCGGCGAAAATCTGTGGTGTTTGTTTCAATCTGGAGTACCCAGAAACAATCTGCGATGCTAAACTAAATTCGGGCTACTCTGTGTAAATTTGTAGTGTTCATTTAAATCTGGATTACCCAGAGTCAATCATATCTGTGGTGTTTGTTTAAATCTGGAGTACCCAGAGACACTCTGTGATGTCGACTAAAAACTGGAGTACCCGCGGTGCAAACCTATTTCATTACTGCATGAAGCTCTGGGAAAATGCTCGAGCCATCAATCTCATCAGCTTACGCCAACTTGCATTCGCATTCGTAATTAAGAGACATCCCATCATAAAGGCTTCCGTTTTCTAAAACAACAAAATAAAACATAAATAAGTATATAGCAGTTGTGTTGGCAAGACTTAACTATAAAACTACTATAAACTATAAACCCTGAATGATAAATGAAAATATTTAGATGATTAGAACACAAAACAATACCTTGTGAATCTTCGTCCACCATTAATCTTCTTCTTTTCCATTATAGTGCTCCACATTGAGCAATGAACAAACATAAAATGTGCGATCATGTTTTGGGGTAGATACTGAGGGGACTAGCTAAGCGTTTATCTCACGCATTGAGTCCTAACTAACTCAATCTGACAAGTTCATCACGCTCGTTTGCCATATCCTAAACTAGTCCTAAGAGAGGCCTAAGCATGTTTTCATGAATACACTTAAGTTTTGGATGTGCGAGTTTTGAAATGAAGGCAGACGAGCTGGGCTCTTCTCGTCTCCTTGTCTCTGAAGTCTTGCGTCCTGACGACGACCGAGTATGAAAAAAATCGGGCAGAAATAAAAATGTGCAGGTAAAAAAGTTCTTGTCCGCCTAAGCGCGGGTTTCCTCCTTCCAACCTGAAAAGTAAAATGAAATACAATTAGCAATGATGCTTTAAAAGTGACGCCATGTCTACAGCAATATACGAGCAAAACGTAGACCCCTCTTACACGGTACCGGACGAATTTGGGGCCGGTCTGAAATTCGTCCTTTTTCGCCTGTTTACACGCGAATTCGTCCTGTTAGGGGGCCTCAAATTCGTCCGGTTCCGTGGTTCTCGTGTGGCCGAAACGGACGAATTCTAGTCCGGTTCCAAATTCGGCCAGTACCGTGCAAATGGGGTCTTATACTGAACTTCAGACATCATTTCTCATTGGCGAACCATTTAAAATATCTTAATTTTAGCATTATTTTACACATAAAGCACTAAATTTGCTTGCCGATTGAGAAACATGTCGAAAAATAAAAATTTGAATGTAATCAGAATTGGTTTTGAGCGCGTGTTATACGTACAGAACAAAAAATTATAACGTAAGGCATGCATAAATACCTAACGCCTGTCGGTGTTACGACAGGAATTCGGAGTACCCGAATTTGAAGCTGGAATAATTGTTCTCAAATGCGACTAAGGCGAAACTATCATGACATATGCATTAAATTCTACTTACTCATGCATGTTGAAAGGGTTATCATTCTTTTTGCGGGTCAATTCACTTCATTACATTTTGCACCTGAAAGAAAAATAAAAAATACATGAACAATTGAACGCGTACACTTGTATGCATGGAAGCATTTTACAGCAAAATTCAGCATTAATATTTAGTAGAATTAAACAGAATTCGTTTCAGAATTGTTAATAAGCGAACGGCGAGCTATTTAGAACAAAACTCTCAGTCTAATTGCAACATAAGCTCAAAGAAATAGCAAATTAATTTCAGAATTTTCGACCAAGAAGTCTCAAAAATATCGTACAAAATTGTGGTCAAACTGTACAGTACGGATGAAGTACGACCAAACCGTTTGAGTAAAGCCAACCGCTTTTATTCTAGGTATTATCGTGAGTAAAAGTTGACCAAAGTTTAGACTAGACTGTTATAAGATGACTATAAATCTACCAGGATACTTAACAATTCTTAAAAGTAAGCGTTAATTCTATTTTAGGACAAATATTTATAGAGAAACATTACATATATATACCTGGTTATATATCCCCACATGGCTTTATGACCAGTCTATGGCTTGAGCGAATTTCTCGCGGAACTTTCTGGCCTAAAATTGGAAGAAAAGAAATATAAGTTATAGGAAGACAAAAGACAAGGATTCTGAAGTTTAATGCTACAATATTTTATCGAAAACGTTAAGAAATAGCCAAAACTTTGAAAGGCCGTACAATACACGTGGCGACTCCTCATGCAGAAAAAATATTTGAACGAATTCTATTAGCGAACGGTTCATGAATTTAGTCGCGTTTCAAAAACATATATATAAGTCGCCCTTCGATTGACAAAGCTTAAAGCAAATTCACAGTAAAAGACTAAAGATTCTTACCTTAAATTTAGCTTGATTAAACAGCGATTTTTTGAGACAAACTTCTCTCTTCGAGAGTCTTCGAGTACTTGTGCAAATGTGAAGCTTGCTGACACGAAGCGAACTTTTAAAATTGCCTCGCACGCAAAATAAACGCCCTGTTACACAAACAGACCCTCGTCTTGATTGGCTGGGTTAAGCAAATGAGCTCGTTGATTGGCTGAAGGCAAAATTAGTGATTCGTTGTAATCCCTTGGGAAATTACTCAATAGGGAATGGTTGTTGATTTGAAATTCTTTGGACAAATTAACTTTCATGCATGCAGTGGTTGAGCTCATTCTATTTTCGTACTAGTCTAAATTGTTTTGGCGTTCATCTCAAAATTACTTTGGTTTAGCTTTATTTTGTAGTTTACACAGTTAGCAACCTTTTTAAATGTATCTGGCGGTTGGGAAACACAAAATAATAGTTAAATATATATTTTCAATTTAAATTGATTATCATGCATTGATGCTGTAATGTTATGTTGGAATGTTTTTTCTATTGTCTTGAAAATCCCACTGTCGTCCAGCCAAATCTGTTGTTTTGCTTATTTTAGCATCTATTTTCTTTTGACCGACCTATTACCTTATTAATCAGCTGCGGGATAATTAGGGATTGCAACGGAGATCTTAACCTTGGCTTTTAAATTGAAAACAGTTAAATAAGCAAGCAATAAATAAGTTCCGACTTGCGGTTGCTAAAATTAAAGACCAGTTCAAAGTTTGACCCTTTTAATCACTGCGGGTTTCCTCCTGGTACACTCAGGGGCGTAGGAAGCATCAAAAGATTGGGGGGGGGGGGCACCGGCTTCTAGGGGCACTTTAGGGTATTGAAAAGGGCACCTACAAAAAATTTTCCCGGAAATGTTGGCGACGGGGAAAGAGATATATTACCGTACCGAAATTGCACGTTTTTGACCGAATTTTTTTAAAAACTTGGAAATTTCCAATTTGATGTTAATTTAGTATTTACAGCGACATTAGCTTGTACAAAAAGGGCACTTTTCATCACAAAAAAAAGGCACTTTTAGTCCTTTGAAAAAATGTATGGGGGTGCCCCCCCCCCCGGTTCCTACGCCCCTGGGTACACTCCAGCATTTTCGACGTCTAGTTCGAACGTCGAGCCATAGGCTGAGGCTAGACGTCCGTAGCGGCGCGAAAAAGCACCTGTATACCCGATATATTATATTACTTTACCTTCCCTTTTCTATATTATATTCTTTCCAAATTCAATTTTTCTATTCTTAAATTTTGATATTTATATTTGCCATATATCCTCCCTATTTGATATATAATTCATGTAAATAGCAGTATATTGTTTTTCGTTAAAGTAGTTTTTATACTAGTCAACTTTCATGTTAGGTCATCCAAATAAAGCTTATTAATAATAAAAGCCTTACTTTTTGGTCGTTTTTTTCCTCTGTTTGACCCTTTTTCAAAAATGAAAAAGTGGCTAAAATTGGACTAAAAGTAAAGGCTATATAGCCTTACTTTTGGGTCGTTTTTCGCCTCTTTTTGAAAAATGAAAAAAGTGGCAAAATTGTAGTGAGAAAAGTAAAGGCTATTATAGCCTTTAAATCTTTATACTTTTTGGTCGTTTTTTCCCTTTTTTTTTAAAAATGAAAAAAGTGGCTAAAATTGGACGAAAAGTTAAGGCTATAGCCTTACGTTTTTGCCCTTTTCAGAAATGAAAAAAGTGGCTAAAAATGGACAAAAAGTAAAGGCTATAGCCTTATTTTTCGCTTCTTTCAAAATTGAAGACAGTGGCTAAAAATGGACGAAACGTTAAGGCTATAGCCTTATTTTTTTGCTACATTTTGTCCCTTTCAATAATGAAAAAGTGGTTAAGAATGTATGGAAATATTGTTATCTTTACTCTTTTGACACTTTTTTGTCGAGAGAATGTAAACTCTAAATCGATATTCGTTAGCTATTCGCCACTTTTTGACCACCTTTTCAAAAATCAAATTTTTAACAATGGTCAATGATAAACCAGAAAGTTAATTGATATTATTTCAGTACGCGTGTAGACAAAACAATTTGAGAGATCTTATAACATTTTGTTACCTTCTATTTTGTTACCTTTACCTTGTCTGCCCCACTTTAAAAGCCGCTCCGACGCCTGTGCCAAAAATTCGAAGGCAAAGGTGAATTTAGGCTTCAGCCGTTCTTTTTTGGCAATTTTTAGGATCGATACTGTATTTATGCTCGAACTGAAAGTAGTGAAATACAGCCCAAAATTTAAGGCTAACCTAACCCTATAAAACTTTTCGTGGCTATTTTTAGCAACGTTTTTTGCTTTTAGAAAAGTGGACAAAAAATGCAGGGAAAACTAAAGTCCAACCATTAGGTTTTTGTCTACGAAAAGTAAGGGCCAACCCTTTGTAAGGTCTTGGCCATTTTTTCGTAATAAATTAATTGTAGTTCGTATTAAAACATGCCACTCTCCCATTTTTTGATTGAAATTAACATAGTCAATCGAGATATAGTGAAACTCGGCAAACTTCAAAGCTTCTATATATAGAACCATTGCATGCACTGACGTCACAAATCCTTAGAGTGCCCTCCAGAAGCTCCCTAACAATATCTGTTCGGGTACACAGCGCAAAAATTAACCATGTTACAGTAGATTTCACGAAACTTTGACCACAAATGTTCCGAACTTCGTTGCGAAGTTCGCAAGTTCGTTGCGAAGTTTGGAAGCTAATATTGGAATTCACAAGCCAATTTGTAAACAAAGTCCCTGATTGGTCCGTGAAGTAAAAGAAGCCAATCAAATGCGTAGTTTACGAACTGGTTTGTGAATCTCATTATGAACTTTTGAACTTCGCAACAATCTTGTGAACTTCGCAACGAAGTTCGGAAAATTTGTGGTCAAAGTTTCGTGAAATCGACTGTAATACAAAATTATTATAAGTTTTACAAAATTTGCCTAGTTTACAAAAGTTATATACATAGATTGCTAATTTGTCATCATCACCGGCGCGGTGACGTCATGTGCAATGGGTCTATATGTACTATTTATATGAGCAGCAGTGTTTTATCAGACACTCACTATAAAACACGCACTGCGAATGTTTTAAATTGCTTCAAAAACGCTCGATCTAGTAAGTTCATTGGCGAAGAAATTTTCAAAAAAATATGTTGTGTAAGTCGAGAAAATCAAAGTTAAAGTTTATGTAAATCAAGGGAAATCTCTATCACATATAAAGACACGACACGCTTATGATTTTTCTTTCTGTTTTCCTCATGAATTTTAGTTCTCAGGCTCTTACCTCTTGTGGAGGAAAGAGTGAATGACCCTGGCAGGAGCTGGTCACGTTACATATCTGCTAAAATCTAGCAGATTTTTAATTGATGATGATGTTGATAAGTATTTGATATTTATACCTTAATTTACAACTTGCATTTTTGTTTTGCAAGTCTGATTTGATTTTACGGGAATCCAAGATAGTTAATTAAAAATCTGCTCAATTTTACCAGATCACGTGACCAGTTCCTACCAGGGTCTTTCCTCCACAAGAGCCTGGGAACGAGGTTGCAAAGACTTTAGCGGAGTGCATGTCATGCACTAATGCATATCTTTACTGGCTGTGGTGGAACAGTTCCTCAAATGTGCGTTTTGATGAAGTTGTCTTAACAACACTTTGATGTTTTCAAATTTATCTTGATCATTCTTGGCCATCAATACATACAGAACCAAAAATGAGGGTCGAATTTCAATGTTTCAAGAATCTTTGCTTTATCTGTTTGTTTACTTATACACAAGCATTGATTTGATCATATGAACAGCCTCGTACCCAGGCGCTATGTGTTAACAGTTCAGTCCATTTCTTCCCACGCGCGTCGTCCCGCGTGCGTGTTGCGCGATGGTGTAGCACAACAAAGCGCCTGGGTACGAGGCTGTCATATGAACACATTCAATAACCATATTTCTCATTCAATTTCGTTTTCCCGTCACCACTTTGATCTAAAAAAAATGCAAGTGACATTTAATTAAACTACGCGAACCTTATTTATATTTCAACATGACATACCTATCAGTTCTAAGATGGTTTTACCAACCTTCGGGTGGTATCCAACTGGCAAAGTCTGGGTTATTGGCGTCCTCCCATTGAGTAGGCGCAGTGTAACGTTTTGCTTTCTTAACAGTCTAGAAAATATGTTATTCAAAAAAAACAACAGTTATCAGAATTTCAGTGAGAGGTATTTCATTGATTAACTTTCTTCAGGGGAGTTGGATGGGCACTGGTCTTTGCACCTTTCCACTACCACCGCAAAGAGTAGAGTTCTGGTTGGCTCTCTCCTGTGTTCCGTCGGTGTTCTCCCCCCCCCCCCCCCTCCCCAAATTACCCTGGTAATTAGTAAATCCGATAACGACAAAATTAATCAAATTATCATCATATATATTTAACTCCTAAATATATTTATAATATAGCATTTGTAAATTCTGAACGCTGATTGGCTAAGAGCCGTGTTGATATAACTCAATGTCAACACCAGAAATTTTCCGCCGCTTGTAAACACGGAAATGTTTCTTATCCTTCGGGCTTTTGACATTGCTATATTATAAAAAGAATATAAAACATTTTTTCCGTATTGATATATAGTTATATCAACACTCGTGGAAGTTGGGAAAACTCGAAATTGTATGAAAACACTCCGCCCCTCGGGCGTCGTGTTTCCATACAATTTCTCGTTTTTCCAATTCCACTCGTGTTGATATAACTGTATATCAACACGGAAAATGTTTTATATTTGTTAAATATTCACCTTTGACTCATCTTTAGGAATACTCTTTTCTTTTACCTCCTTGTTACTAGCATGTTTTAATGTCTCTTCACTTCCCAATTCTTCAGTTGTCGTTTTTAATGGCTGCCGAACATCCTTCTTATCTTTCGCCTGAGTTCTTGCTTCGTCTCTACTATGTGTCAGTTTTGAAATCTTCGCTGGTTTAACGGGTTTTACAGTGGAAGTCGGCATAGCAAAGCCGCTAAATGTTTCTGATTTTGGGTTTGTTTTCTCCTCCAAGGGGATGTTTCTTGTGGATGTTTGGTTGTCATTGTCAGTGGTTGCCTCATCTTGTCCGCTTGTGATATCAGATTCTATACAGTTTTCTTTGCTCTTATCGATTTCTGTCATTGGAGAATCTGATAACAAAAGTAGGCATAGTCGCGATAATCTCATGCTTCAAACATTTTTCCAAAAATTAAAATTTTGCATCAAACTATCTTAAACGATCAGGAAGTGGTCCAAAACGTTTTCTTTCATCAAAACAATGACTTTCAACTCATAAAAACATGTTTTACACAATTTGACAATTTTGGTCAAATGCATATCATTTTGGTCAAATACCCTCCGGTTTTCGATATATTTCTCAAAAATTCAAATTTCCCTTCAAACCATTCCATAAGTTCCAAAAGTGGTAAAAAAGTTTTCTTTCATTGAAACAACGACTCTCTCAACTCATAAAGGGGGACCTGTGGTCAAAAAGGGGGACCTGTGGTCAAAAAAGGGGACCACAGTTAATTTATTAAATTTTATCAAAACAATTAATTTCAACTCATAAAAATTATTTTAGATACTTTTTTGACTAATTTTTCAAAAATTCAAATTTCCTTCAAGCTGTTAAAAATATTCTGTAAAACAACGACTTTCAACTTTCTTTCAAATCAAATCAAATCAAAACAATGACTTTCAACTGATCATAAAAACACGTTTTACATAGTGTATAAAATTTTTTCAAATGCATGGAGGGAACCACATGCAGTAATCTGTCTGGTTGTCAACTGGTTTTTCAAAAATGAACTTCAACTCATAAAAAGATACGTTCTTTGTAGGTTTGCATAACGATAAAACATATAATACTTTTTGTTTGTGGAAACACCACGTAAATTTATTACTGCAAAGCTTTCGATCCGTAAGCCCGGATCTTCATCATAAGAAAGATGTTTCTCAATGCATAAAATTTGGACAAAAACACATCGTCGACTGTTTTCCCACCTCTTGTCACTACTTTAGTTTGGAATAACTTGCAGATATTTTTTACTTCGAAATCTTAACCTAACCTTTTACTTCGCTACCTTGTGTTTTCCCGCCACGGTTGTCACGTGTTACATCTGGTAGTATGGTTTTTGCTGCAGAACTGAAATAAAAAATTCCATAATTTAAGTGGCAATTGAATTGTAATTGTTGTTCACAGTTCGCTTATCATCATGTTATTACTCAACTTACTGTATCTCATTTTGTCTCTAATATTTTTTTGCTTTATCATGAAAAATAGCACCCCCTGGCCAGGGCTAGGGGGGTGCTCACTCTCCCCCAATTTGTGAAATGTTGATACTTAGAGGAGCAAGAACATTTCCTTTATTTTGTTTATTAGCCAGCATGCGAATACAAGATTTCTCCATAGCTTGAAAATAATTTGTCGTTGACCATTTTCTTTAGCACAATAGTGCTTAGTGAAATTATCCTTTACAAAAATTATTTTCTATCTGTATCTGACTCAGTTCATAAATTAGTTTTGAGCTGATACGATACCGTTGCAATGAAGACAGATCTGTTGGTTTGGTCAGATCAACAAGTTTCTTTATTCTTTCTTCGTCCTAAAGGAATGAAAAACGACTTGCTTGTTCATTCAACACTAAAAATTACCTGTTTTTACAATCGAGAGTGGTTAGTTCATGCGCATTTCACTTCTGTGCACGGGGTAATAATGGTAATTAATTTCCCATAATATGCAGTTGACTCTATCTAAAAATACTTACCTTTCTTAATTCGACAATCTTTCTTTTTAACTTGATTTTTGTCTGTTTGTCCATTCTTTGAGACATTGTGTTCATGTAATCATCTAAACTATCACCGTTGTCTGCGTTTTCTAAAGCTGTGAAATAAAAATAGACCACATTCAGTAAATACGAGTCAGTGACTCAGTTGCAATTCAAAATAGTGGCACAGTGGTTAATTAGTGTACTGTATGTGCCTCAACTCCTCTCTAAGACCAGAATGCAAATCTGCAATATCGTGTGATAATAATTTCGCCTCAGTTGCATGTGGGAAGAATGCTTTAGTTCAACTTTGTCAAATAATGCAGGTTCTCCATGTATCCCAGATTCCTCCTGCAGTGGAAACACTTATTGTCGATTTCAGGTAGCTTTTCAACACGCTGTCCCCAAGTTCGTTGCGAACTTACCCATTGCGTTATCAAGTTCGGAAGTTGGGCGTGAACGTCGCAACAAAGTCCGCAAGTTCATTTCAAAGTTCGAACTTTGATTGTAAACAAATGTCCATAGTTGAAGTTGAAATTACTGTTTAAGGCCCTGTGCACATATTACTGCAGTAAAATATTGGGCCAGTGGTTTTCCCAAGACGAAAATGCCTTTTTAAATAAATTTATAAATGAAATTTGTACATTTGATTACAATCGAAGTTCGAACTTTGAAATGAACTTGCGGACTTTGTTGCGAAGTTCACGCCCAACTTCCGAACTTGATAACGTAATTGGCAAGTTCGCAACGAACTTGGGAACAGCGTGTTGAAAAGTTACCTGAAATCGACAATAGACCAATAATTGATGTAGTATACTGGACGTCTAGAGAGAACAATTTAGAACTAATATTGCCATCCAGAGTTAAGCTTTAAGTGAAATAGTATTATCTCACCTTCTGCATCTTGTATTCTTTTTACCAAAACTTGAATTTCGTCTTGGACTTTTTGAAGTTTACTCAGCTGCAAATTGAAGAAAATATTGCACAGTCAAGGAAATTCACACGTCGACGTATGTTTTCTTGCCTATCACTTTTAGCGAAGTTTGATTATACCCACACTGTCCACACATACTGTAACCTACCAAGGAGTCGTATGTCTCCACTTCCAATTTCTCTTTTCCTGCTTTGCGCATTCTTTTTATTCTTTTTTTCTCGACTAAACAAGGAAATTTTACTGTATATTTACCACCATCAACATTAAATAGAACAAAATATATCGTCTAAAATCTTACTTGTTCCAGTTCTGTCAAGAAAGTTGTCTTCATCACTTTCGTAAAAATCATCTTCTTCCAAGTTTCGTTCTCTTTTCTTGCGACTTTCTGAAATATTAATCATGTAAGTATGGTAACTAGATAAGTCAGCTTATTATGTGGTTTGATGGGTATACTATTAGGGGATGGGTTTAACATTGTATATTGGTAGGGGGGGGGGGATTGTGAACTAAAATTGGGTGTGGTAAAATCAGAATAAAATTGACAAGTAAAATTGAGGAGGGTGAAATTTGATAAAATTCGGGAATAAAGTGAAAGGTCATTTTAAGTTAGCAAAATTGTCAAGGTCAATGTGTCATATTTCTGGGCAGGGAAGGGGAAAATGGAGATCTTTCTCGAAAATAATACATGCCTTGGGCTTACCGTGTGATGATTGTCTCAACAGTCCATAAGCATCCAACATCTTGCATGCTTCATTAGCACATTCTTGTACTGCATCTTTCTTACGTCCTGTGACCGAGGCTTCGGCATAGACTGCAGAACCATTTGGACCATCAACTGGTAATCTATATGATCATGTCGATAAAATGTTGAAACTGTTAGTACTTGTGCAAACTTTCTGTTGTAATGGACCTTAAAAGTGCTCAGGTCACATAATTTTCAAACAATGAATTTATTGACACAAAAGCATCCCACAATGCACTGTGCATTCCAGAAGTCCTCTGTATTAACAATTGTGTGACGTAAGGACTTCTAAGGTTTATTACAAGGTCTACAGTACACAATCGTTTTTATCTTCAGTTGCCAGATACTTTCATTAACCCACTGAGTTGCATTGCACCCTGATGCACCCTACTTTAGTATTTTACTCCGTCTAACGCCAGACGATTTTACTCGTCAAGGGGAGAGTGCTGGCACTTAATGGGTTAACTGGCCTATTGGCCCATGTGTCTAGTTAAGCCATTGAGTTGCATTGCACCCTGATGCACCCTACTTTAGTATTTTACTCTGTCTAATGCCAGACAATTTTACTCGTCAAGGGGAGAGTGCTGGCGCTTAATGGGTTAATTATGCCCATAGTCATATGGATCACCACATCTTTTTCTGATAAGTACATCTAAACCAAAAATATTCTGGGTGACATATGCTTTCCTAACAATTATATTCTGGGTGACATATGCTTTCCTAACAATTACATGTAGTGCAAATTTGTGCCATTAAAATATTACACTTGAAATGGATGTTCCTGATATTGAAAACCAGGACTGAGAACTATCAAAGCACAATTGTAAGTACATGTAGGAAGATTGTAAGAGTCAATGGGACATATTTAAAATTGCCATAAGTATTTTAAGAATTTTATTTTATGATAAGGCTCAGGCGAGAATGGTTGGGCTGAGAACTACAGTATCATGAAAAGTTTTGGTGCAATTGTCATTTTGTTTAATTATATAATAGAGTTCAACTGTACAGTACCTTACTCTACAATGATAAACTCGTGCATGACCAGGTCCTGTTTCATCAACTTGATATTCCAGGTCAAGACCTTCAATAAAAAAAATGAATTCAACAACCAGGGTAAATATACTCTGCCAAAACAATGGCATAAAACTTAATTGACAGATGCACACTTTTGGTGAAAATCATCATGTTGGGAATCTGCTTGTTCTGCTAATAAATGTGGGATATCATCTCGAAGAAATCCTCAAGGATCATAATGAAGGAAGAATAACAAAGAAAATTGGATTTGGAGAGATATATAGATCTAGATATTTAGGGCACTTCCTTGCATTCTGAAAGTGTGTTTTGAAGAACTTCGCAGGATATGTGTTCTTCTCCATATCCTAGCCATTCACAATCTCCTAATGTGGGGCTGAACAGGAGATCATAGCAACAAATCAAGGTTCCAATACCTTCTCTCTCATAATATCCTCTCAAGGTCTTTTTGGGATCTTTAAATTCTACACCAGAATACAATTCTTGAAATTTCTCTGAGTCAATCTGTTCCTCTTCGGCATCTTCACCTGCAAGTAAATAAAAACATTTTTAACACATAGGAAAAAGGTTGAGGGGGAAACTTTAGATGCTCAGAACAGGGAAGATGTGAAACAGGGGGGGGGGAGGAAAGGGAGTAACAGGGAGAGCAAGAAGGGAAAAAGTAGTGGTAAGGACAAAATGTGGTACAGTTTCAGGGGCATGGATGAGGAGGGAAGTTGGGGGAGAGTATAAGGGGTACAACGAGGGGGATGGAGGGGAAAGACAAACTGGATGGTAAGAAGAGGGAAAAGGGAAGGAAAGTGGGTGGGGTAAAAGAGAGGGGGGAAATTGGTATTGATGGTGAAGTGGAAAGGGTAGAGGCAAAAGGGAGGTGGAAAGAGGGGACAAGGCCGACAAGCTGAAGGGAAAGATGGGTGGAAAGAAAGGGAGGGAAGAGAAAAAGGGAAGCCACAACAATTTGGAAACCATGTTCATTTTATTTCTCATAGTATTGAAAATTGAACACATTTTTTGTTATTCAGTGAAACGATTAGGCAACCAAGTTCTAGTCATATATATTAGTATTTTTGCACAAGTAAATATAACAAATCCTACAAGTTGATTGGTCAAATTTGACGTATTAAGTCGTTATATTCACCTACAGGTGAATATAACAAAACCGAAATTTTCAAAATGGTGGCCAGCCATTTTGTGGAAGTTACTCACTGATAAAGAAATAAGCAAAATCAAAATAAATTCAGTCCCAAAAAACACAAAATACTTGACATTTGTGTAAAAATACTAAAACAATTATTCGCCCCAGGCTCGGTGATTATCGGGGAATATTCACCTCGACTTTGTCTCGGCGAATATTCCCTGATAATCACCTCGCCTTCGGCAAATAATTGTTAAATAATATGAAAATCTTACCAAATCCCCAGTCAATGCCTTCACTTTCTTCACTTTTATTTTCAACTTTTTTCAAACTGTCATATTCTTCATCTGTGAATATTTGTCCAACTTTGGCTTTTGTTTCATTTTCTGTTGTTGGGGTTTCTGATGGACGTGCCTCAGGCTCTTCTTCCTCATCTTCTTGTGGGCCCTTCAGATGATACTGTATTATTTTCTAATAAACTTGACTTACTCCAACTTAACTATTAAACACATTCCAAACCAAAAAGCAAGGCATGGGAGCACTTTGCATTTTACTACATTTAATACCAAATGATTTTAATAGCTATGGATCAATCATCTATCAAGACATGTGATCTACCTGATGGTTCCAAGGCAAACTATACTAGATATATAGTACTACCAATTTGCCAAATTGGATGAGTTATACAGTCATAATTCATTAATACACTGATACCAGGGCTCAAAACTTGAAATTTTTGTCAGTATCCAAGTGGATACCAGCATCATAGAATCTAGTATCCATCCTTGAAATATAGTAACCCAGATTTGGATACTAGATATTCTATTTCCAGTATCTAAGCAAGGCAAAGAAGGTGAAAATAACACACTGCGGCGATACGAAAGAAAGCACTGTTTGTGAAATTTTTTTTTAAATATTCTGCCAAAATCCGTAGACATTGAAGTTTGGAAACATGCCCAACGTCTAGATGATTATCTACTATCGCAATTTCTAAGTTTTCCTAGTATTCAGTTGGGATACTGAGCTTATGATACCCAGTATCCAAAATTAAAATCTGATATCCTGTGGATATCGGGATACCGCAAGTTTCGAGCCCTGCTGATACAGTACATATATGTACACTACATTAGAGGTGTGCATCGGATCGGACATTTATAATCCGACAATTGCCTAATGTTTAAAATCCGATCCGAAATTGTCTAATCCGAATCCGATCCGAGTTTCGATAAAGAATTCCAATCCAATCCGATCCGAAGAATTCTTTAATAAAATAAATTTCTCATTCAAGTTGAAATATTTAACCAAATAAATATAAAAGCAAGGAATACATGTCAAGAAGCTGACAAAGTGACGTCCAATTGAAGTATCAAACATATAATGCAGCGACACCGCAATAATGCTTTGATAAATGCATGGATAATTAATTCTTGCGATAATGCGTGGATAATTAATTCACTTTATTTCGGATATCGAAGTCCGATCCGATCTGACTACGAAACAACTTTATCAATCCGAAATGAATATTTTGGTTCCGAAATCTGAAAGAATTGGATCGGATCGGTTTCGGATCGGATTTGCACACTTCTACACTACATGCAGTATGTCACACTGCTGCCTTTGGTCTGTTGTGAGCCCTAACATTCCATGGGGGCTGTGAGCTAGACCGCTGCACCTCCCATAAACTTTTTCCATCTACCCCACTTTTTCCACCAAAATCCAGCCTTGACTGATACTATAGTGGAATCATTCGTCAATTAATTAAGCAAAACTAGGCACACACGCTTACCCAGATGGATGATCAATCTGTTTGCTGAGTTTATATATATACAAATGTGAAACAATCGTTTCTTTTCCCAAATTTGTTTATACAGATGATCTGTCCCAGCCTAGTACCAATTGGGTCTGAGTTTTTCTGAGCTACTGCCAAGTTTGGTATTTTATTCTGTCTATTGTCTAACATCAGGGGCCGGTTGTATAAAAAAGTGATTAATTTAAAGTCAACTATATAACAGTGGAAACGTCATCCAATAAGAAGCGCCTATTTGAGAGTTAATCACTATTTAACTACAAAATAGTGATTAAAAATGTGATTGGGTCGTTCCAGAAAAGATCCATACTCCCCTCACGGAGGAAATTTCTGCCGTCCGGAGGGGGAGGGGAGAAAAAATTGTTTCTGATAATAGTAAATGTATTAGAACATCCGAAGGGTGTAGGGGGGTTAACTTTGTATTTCCTCTGTGGGGGTGGTATGGATGTTTTCTGGAATGACCCATTAAGAGTTTTATACAACTGGCCCCAGACAATTTTACTTGTCAAGGAGCGAGCACTGGGTCTCTAAAGGGTTAATGAGCTGTTTTCAAGAACTAATACAAACCTGCAGGATAAACAATCGGGAGCTTCCACCAAACTTTATAACGTAACCCACTTTAAGTTTATAATATGTCTTTGCTCTTATTTTACTCTTATTAACAATAGTCCCATGTGTGCTGCCAAGATCGTAAAGATAAAACCCACTTAACGTCTGATCCCCATCCGTTTCCCCTCGGTATTGAACCAGCGCGTGATACCGTGATATAGACGGATGTTCTAAGACAACATCACATAATGGGAGCCTACCAAAAACATGGTAAGCTTTGTCATTTAAGTTCAAAGTTGAAATAATACAACCATTTTTTAGGACTTCCAAACTAAAATGATTTTCTGCTGGAGGTGTTGTACTCCACCACGGTTCTTTGTACTTAAGTTCAGGAACTTTTTCCTTTTTCTCTATACTAACAGGTTCGCCCGGTTCAGCGTCTTTTTGGACGGCACTTGGCACTTTAAAAGATGTATTGTTTTCAGGTTTAAAATCATCTGATTTCTGTTCATTTGGTTCTTTTACGCAATCTAAACTCTTTGCTTCTTCGCTTTTTGTTTTTACAGTTTCATTTTCAACAAGATCTGTTTCTGTCTGATTATTTTTCGATTCATTTTCAAAAGTCTTTTCTTTACACTCCTCCGCATCATCGGCCATGTTGAATTTAGATTTTAGAATTTTAGGCCATACTTTGTGTTATATTCATTATAATGGATGCTTTTTGGTGCTTCCGTATTCTATCTTGCAAAGGAAATTTTGAAAATGAAGGGAAATTAAAGAAAAATTAATCTTGCTTCAGGCAAGTGGAAGCATTCGCAAGCGAAAACCTTCAAAATGGAGGACAACCACGAGGAGTGCGGAGAGAAACAGGAGAAAATCTTATTATTTTTAAGCAATCAAGAAATATTTGTTTGGGATAAAGAAGCTGTAATGATGCTACGAAGAAAATGCCGCATTGTGGGGTCTTTAGTTGGCTCACTGCCCAGTAAACCTAGACAGAATTTAGTGTTTTCTCTCCCTCTTGTCTTACTCCCTGAGGAAGCGAGACTTTTACTTGACAAGAACATTGCTAGAATTGTAGAAAGCGATATAACAAGACCTTCACAGGAGATAGTCCACAAATTTCAAGATGAAAGAAGAACTAGCATTCAGGAACAGATTGAAAGACTTGAAGAATTAAAACAACAAAAACTTGCTGACTTTGCAGAAATCATAGAGGAAGGCCGTGAAAGAGTGGATAGAAAACGAAGAATCTCATCGCAAAATTCTAGTGGTAAAGTACCACGTATAGAAACTGAAGAAAAGCAAAGTTTTATGGAATCAAGTTCGGTCAGGTGGTCGGATGACATCCCTAAAAAATTATCATCGGAAGACATTCATAGATCATCGGAGAGCACCGACAGCTCTACTCAGCAACAGTTGAAAAACATGGATATATTATCAGAGGATGCCAATGGTTCTGCTCAGAAGCAGTCAGAAGACATTTCTGGATCATCTGAAAATACGGATGAGATCAATCTTCAAGATTCTACTCTTGTTTGTGTGAGCACAAAATCCAAACTTTTAAGAACCAAAGATGTGTATTGGAATTTCCCAGAAACTGAGATTGAACAAGTCAGGTGCAAAGTTTTCTCCGATTTATGGCAAAAGGGATATTTTATAACCAATGGGAACAAATTTGGTGGCGATTATTTAGTCTATCCCGGAGACCCATTGAGATTTCATTCGCATTTTATTGTGAAAATTTTACCTTGTGGAGAAAGGCTTACAGGGTTGGATCTAGTTAGTGTAGGTCGACTAGGATCAACTGTTAAAAAGACAAGTGTTTTGGCGTCGGTTGATTCATCCGGCAAAGTTATTTATACTTCAGTTCAATGGTCGGGTTTTGTGTAGAGTTATCATGATTTTTAATAGGGATCGATGCACCAGATATCATATCTGCCTCAGGTAGCGAGATAATTTATATATATGGTTCAGGCCTTCTTTCTGGGTTAAAAAATGATTTGATAAGGTTAAAAAAGTAGGGGTGTTTATCTTTTTTCACTTGAAATATTAGGATCATAGAAAAGCCAGTATTTTCATGCAGGTTGGGCATTTGAATTTTGAAGTTGTGAGCAAGGCTTGTGCATGTTTACCAATATTCTTAGACTGTGAAGTTCTTTCCTATTATTTCAACTTTTCAAGTCAAAATATTATAAACACTTCATTTTCAACTATTGGGCCAGATAGCCAAAAAGCTCTATCTGATGCACCCCTAATTTTTATTAAGAATTTCAGAATAATTTCAGAATATCTTAATAAATCAGCATTGTAATAAAACATATTAACGTTGTGTGTATAAAATTTAGGTGAAAAAATTAGCTTGGATATTAACAGCCCAAATGAAATTATTTTGTGTAATGGAAGCTCTCTGAGAAATTATTTTTATGCCATGCCCAAATGTTTGCATTTTTCCTAGTGCAAGTTTTTCCTGGTGATATTATTATATCACTAAACTATTCAATCTAGGAGTCCTTATATTCCATTGGAAATAGGCAGCTCCTTGTTTCTCATATATCAAAATATCTGGAATATGAGAACAAACTAGCTGACGAATAGAACAAGAACTCTCTCCTCTGCAGAGGCTTCTGTTTGGCTATGTTTCATATCGAGATACATTTCACTACACTTTACATGGTGGATCATGGAACACGAGCGGAGCCGCTGGGCAAAGGAGTGCAGGCGGGAAAGGAGCAAGAATTTAACATTTTTACTGACTGCAAGACAAAGGCCTTTGCTCGAATTGTCAGTTCTTGTCACGTATTGTTAAGGTAGTTTGTTCCTGTAATGCCTCAAGAATGTCAGGATTGCTACATACAATGGGACCCAATTCAGGATTTTATCAAAATATCTTACTACTTGAGGTATTTTATACATACAAAGTTTATTTAGTATTGTGTACAAATATTCTACAATATCTATAAAATATCCTTAGTCCAATGTATCTCCAAGGGTATCCATTGAGGTATTCTAGAAAAAAAAGAAAACATAATAAGAGTGACATCTACTCAAAGATCAATTGTTGGATTATAACTGGCTCCATCTTCGGGAAAAAAAATTTAGTTGTTTGTACAAATGGGCAGACTGATAGAAGATCCATCAAAACAGTTGTCTGTGCAGACAAAATCACAAGTGTTATGTAATTAGACTATTCTTGTAAAAAAGGAGCCTAGTCCCAGGCTCTCTCTATTCGCTGCTTTGATATATTTAATTAAATGAGTGTTAAAAGTTTTATGCCTGGGTGTGCTGTGCAGAACGCTTCAGCGATCACACCTAGGTCCCAGTCTCGTACTACATCCACGTTTTTTCTCGTGCTTGCTTCAAAACAACTGGAACTAGGCTGGTAAAAAGGTTTACCCTATTGAGCACCAGTGCTTTCATCTGGCATTAGACATAGTAAAAATATTAAAGCAGGGCATATTAAGCTGCAATACAACTTAATGGGTTAACAAGACACATTGGCCCATTGAGCACCAGTGCACAAGTAAAATTGTCTTGTGTTAGAGTAAAACAATATGGTAGGTTGCATTAGGGCTCAATGCATCTTAATGTGTTAAGGTCATAAGGTGTCCCTTGCAAGTATAAATCATGCTATTCTAGCCACTGGTCTGGCACAGTAGTTTACCCCAGGTGTGATTACACAGAGACAAATAATCCATCACCACAGATGGTATGCCTTACCGGTGCAGTGGTGGTGGGAGATTTTGCAGCTAAGGCCAGACTATTCATCAACATTTTAAACACATCAGGTGGTAATGTTTGCTGGAATACTTGGAGCAATTGTTGAGGTTGACCACTGATTGCAATGGCATTGGTAAGATGTTTCACACTTGCTTCAAATTCACCTGAAATCCAGCAAAGGAGTAAAATAATAAAGTAGGATGCATCATTGGTTCAGTGTTACTACGCGAGGAAAGTAGAGTAGCAAGAAAAAACTAATGTCAAATTGGAAGGACTCAGATATTCCAACCTTAGGTAAGTCAAAATCGAGACAACATTGGCAAATCATTAATATTTTCAAACCATTGTGTTTTGCCTCTAGATTGTGTTCGGCAATAAAACCTTACTTAAAATGTTGTTGGATTTTGTTACTGATTTTAAATAGTTTTGTTAATTTTTTGTTTTTTAAAACTTTTTATCATTTTCAGAAAGCTATGCTATGACGGATATATAACTACCTAAAAATACAAGCAGAACGTTTTGAGGGAAGGTCCCTATTTTCACTTTTTGTTTCTTCATTGAATTAAGGAGGTGAAAGGTATGCATATTATACACTGTACCACCAGTAGCCCTCTTGTATATGGCACCAACACTAACCCTACACACTGTACTACCATTACTCCACTGAAGATGTTATTGGTCCAGCATCAACGACCATTGTTCAACTCACCTGCAGCAAGTAATTCCTCTCCCTTCTGGATCTCATCAAAGAAGAATTTTTGGAGTGCTGCTTGGTCACTGCGGTCAGGCATTTGAGACTAAAGTTGGAAAACATATTGATACAAGCTCAGCTAACTGCGAAACACACCTGACCGAAATCCAGGGCTGGAATTTTATCGCTGCAATTGCCATAGTTTGACAGGAAAATGCTGTGGTGATCTATGGACAACGATGGCAGTTTTTTTGCCATAGAGTAAATTTTTAGGTTATTGGTATTAGTAATCTGTAGAAAGAATTTCATTATTTTTCTTTTTGTAGATGTTACTGTTTTCATTCATGTACAGTACTGCCAAGAAATAACTTATCAAAAACCGCGTCCAAGACGCGGGTATCTTGCGTCCACTGTGCGTCCACGGGCACCCGCGGGTGCGTCCGTCCTGCGGGCGCCGTGCGTCCGTCGTGCGTCCACTGTGCGTCTGCGGGCGCTTGCGGGTGCGTCCACTGTGCGGGCGCCATGCGTCCGCTTTGCGTCTGCGGGCAAGGACGCAGCTGAGAAAGAGTTCTATTCGTAGATCGTCGGAAATTATCGCGTTTCGCTTTTCATAAACAAACCGTGGGCGTCGGAAAATATTCATGTTAGCGATTTCACACCACGTTTTTATGCTTATACACAAGCGTTGCAGACCTAGAATCCTAGATATTTATATTTCTAATATTAAACTTACCGTGAATTTTCAGAATTTGTGCTTCGTAAAGTTCTTTTTCGTATTTAATCTCTACTTTCGCACCTGCATATAACGTTTGCTTTAAACCCAGTAATCTTTTAACGTTGCCGGTTGGCAAAATGCACGTATGGTTTTATATCTTCTTCGAAGAAACCCAAAATACGTTTTGGTTGATAGTAATCATTAGTCTGATAGTAATACGGATCGAGTGATATTAGTCTGAGCTCTTCACTTCAGCTTTAGCGAATTATACTGCAACTTCGAAAATCAAGCGATGAGTCACAGTCACTGAACCGTGTTGAAACACAAAGACTGTTTCCTGGACATGTAAAGGTATTCCATTAACTGGGATTAAGAGAAGTCATTTATCCAGAAATTATATGGTAATTATCAATTTATATGACATATCACCATGTGCATTTACTGCTTTGGAAAAACAACACAAACTTGTTGCTGTAAATAAAGTTATATAGTGGCTCGTAGTAATGGTATTTTATATGAAAAATCAAAAGCACTATATATATTGTAAATGAGCATCTTCGTTTTAATATACTGACGAGTTACGGAGACATAACATTATTCAAATACAGAATTGCATATCAACTAATCGGCAATCTTCTACGAGGTAAGTCAGAATTTGAGTAGCAAATGAATGTATTGCGAGATACATACTCGTTGTAGTCGTGATCTCACTGAGTTTAGTATATGTGTCTACATTATATTTATATATAGTTTATGTCTATTTTACGCTCCAATATACAGTCATATACGCTTCGATCGCCACTCCAGTACGTGTGATTGAATTGTGAAAGCACTACGCTTACTGTAGTATAACGTATAACATTATAAAATGGTTATACTAAGTGTAACGCTTAGGTTCAATGAAACTCGATTTCGGATTCAACTTTTTATTCTTTGCTTCTCCGATCAGTGACACTGATCTGTATTCTCACGACAAACTACGAATATGATGCAAATATTAGTTCGTTTTTCCGATTATGTTACGACGACTGCGTCCAAGCGGACGCAGTTTTTAACTAGAGGCTGGACGCGGGCGCTTTGGAGGCAGGACGCGGGCAGAGCAGACGCAAGACGCGGGCGTCGTGGAGGCCGGACGCGGGCGCTCTGGAGGCAGGACGCGGGCAGAGTAGACGCAAGACGCGGGCGCTCTGGAGGCAGGACGCGGGCAGACGCGGGGACAAGTTATTTCTTGGCAGTACTGTAGCTTCGGCAAAAATTTATTAAAATCAAAAGAACAAATTTTGTGGGTTCGGGGGGTCAATTCTATTTCCGGATGGGGTCCCCAACCCACCCCCACTACGGGCTTGCGGCCAAGGTGGCAAAAAGTGCCTCTAAAGAGAGTTCGATGGCAACTTTATGTTAGAAGCTGGTAACAGGAATTTTCTTCTAATTTAAGCCTTGATGAACAAGACTATATGTGTTAACCACTTCTGATTTTTGCTTTATAGCCGAAAATTTGAGAATTTTAAAAAATTTTCGAAAAACATAAAACTCTCTTAATTGTCTTAATTGATTTAATTATTTAGTCACTTTCAGTTTAATACTGTTCAGTAAACTTAACTAATGTATCGAATATTGTCAGAACGATCCGTCGTAGCTGTTACGGATATCCTGCTTTGATTTATAGATCTATACAGCAAGTGATTATTTGATGGGCCACTGAAGGCAATGTTTGATAAATTGAATTAAAATAACAAGTAAAAACACGATTTTTATCACATTTAAATGCTGACAGATTTGCTGCCATTGCCGAATGGCTTTTTTGGCAAACTAAGGTCCCACTGAACTAAAAACTGCTCTGCTTTCAACTTGTAATATATTAATTAATATCTGAAAATATGTTGTAATTATCATTTTATCGTAAGGTTGTATAACGTTGGCATGAAATTTATCATCAAATCACCATCTTTCTCAATCTCATCATATAATTTGATGCTGGGGGTAAAATATGTACAGTCTGTGGAAAACAACCATGAGGCACATAATTTGCACGAAGTCTTTTGCTGCAATGTTTTTAGTCCTCACCTATTTAGTTCCAAATCCTTATTCCAACCACACTACTGTTAATTAATCCAATGAGCATTTAAATTTCTGAAGGGGTGCAAAATATTTGGGGAGTACACACTCCCCTGCTGGCGCTGCATCCCCCAAGAAAATCCATCTATGGAACATTCTGAGTAATATCTTTATATACCCATCTGAACATTCATAACTCATCCGCTCGTTCACATGCATCAGGAGAAAATCACACCAGATACTGCGGCAAAAATGGCTTAAACGGAATGCCAAAACATATGGGAACCTTATATCAAATGGGATACCAGATTCTCAGCAGGATACAATAACTTTGAATACTGACCCCAGCATGATATTGCAACAAATGTTAAAGGTGATGTAAAGTCTGTTCTGCGCACGCCAACATTCCAATGAATGTTGAACTTTCTTGAATTGAATCTCTAGTCTGTATTCATTTATAAGCATAGCGAACCAGAAGAGTGTTAAAAATTCAGTATAATATATATCTAATCATATTTTACAACTGTATGCACTGAATTCAAAATGTAAACAAAGTGTTTGTTTACATTACGGACTTTACATCACCTTTAAATTTCAGACAAGAGGTATATATTATCTAATAATATACATATTATAATACTGTTGCATAATGATAATATCGTCACTTATCTAAAGTGTTGGAATCTGCATTACTGTGTTAATAATACAGGTATACCTGTCCAATAATAAGCCCATGGGCTTGTACCAGGGTCTGAAATTTAAATATATTTTCTCAGTATCCAACTGGGATATCAGGATTCAAAGTTTAGTATCCCCCTGAGAATGCAGTATCCCACTTCTGGATACCATAAGTATTCTACCCTGTCCCATCCAATAACTCTCGCTGTTACAAGCTATCAGGAGACTGTCAGAGGTGCTTAATAGGGATGAGCCGATAAGGAAAATTGCCGATTACTGAGGCCGATTATTTATAAGCCGATTATCGTAACTAATCGGCCGATTAATCCGTACCCGCCGATTATATTAAAAAGCAAGCGAAAAATCACAAGATGACCAACAATGAAGTTGTAAATGCAGTTTTATTGTTTACAATACACATTACGTACAATTGAAAACAGCTTCAATCTTGCATGTCAATAGTCAAAGTTTAGTTTTGGCAGATTATGGTGTAAAAACAGGACATTGTCAGCTATGCGGAGCTAGTCTGCTGCGTTTTTTCAGTGGAAATGTTCCCAGCTTCACTTCGCTCAAGACAAAAGACACGGGTTTTGCAACAAAATGTGAAAATCTATTCGCTTGTATTCAGTATTTTAGCATGTGCTTGGCAGCCGATTATTTGCCGATTATCAAGCAATAATCGGCCGATTACCGATTATTTAAAAAACGGCAGATTAATCGGCTTTGCCGATTATTTACCGATTAATCGGCTCATCCCTAGTGCTTACATTTCCCTTATGTTTGAAATTTTCTTAGTATCCAGTTGGGATATAAGTCATTCACAGTTTGGTATCCAAAACCAAATTTTAGTGTCCTGTGGATATCAGGATACTGCAAATTTCAGACCCTGGGCTTTGTACACAGAGGGGCTTATATTCGGGAGTGGGGGCATTGAGCTTAATTATACTCGAGTGGGCTTATATTTGAAATGGTATATCCTGGTTTTGTATTGTGGTCCACAGTCAGTTGTTTAGAGTACATGTAATAGCTTAATAATATGCATTGTATTTCAGTGACATTCTTGAATACTTGGATATAAAAAATGGCTTAACTTATCATGGGTCAACAAATGAAGCATCTTTGCTTATGTCAATGAAGTAAAATATGGAACATCAGCCCTTGAAAACGAGGTCGGCATTCGGCAATGCCGACCTATCAACCTTCCAAGTCGGAAAATTTTTGCCGACCTTAATTCAACCAAAGTAAGAATTTTTTGGTGCTGATTGTTGTTAAAAAGTAGAATTCGATTGAACAAACTTTGGTGTAAGGTTTAAAAATTGACAAGTATTCAAAATATATAATTTAGGCAACATAAAAAAAATAGTTGGTTAGCATCCTTAGGTTTTGCCAAAAAGTGGGCTGGCAGGTTATTTTTTCATTTTTACTAATTTTTAACGCCTTGGTTTTTGGTCCAAAACTGGATTTTCTTGCGCAATACAGATATTTTTTTATATATTTCAAAATATGATTCATCGCACGCAATTTTGCAATTTATTAAACAATTGACTACAGTGAACAGAAATACTACACATATTAGAGCCCATTGATCAATAAAAGTTGGGGTTTATTTAAAATAAAAAATAAAAAAAAATCCTGAGCAGGGCCTTTTTTGTGGGCGGACAAGGACGCTAACCAACTATTTTTTTTATGTGGCCTTAGGTATAAGACTCCAAAAGAGGAGCTGACGTGTTACTGTAGTTCGCGTTTCCGCGTAACAAGGCATGCTTTTTATTCCGATTTCAATGATTCGCAAATACATGGAAACAGATTTTAAGACATGGAAACAGATTTTAAGACATGGAACCAGATTTTAAGAGATGGAAACAGATTTTAAAAAATGCCGAGACGTGCCGACCTAGGTCTGATTTAGGTCGGCATTTTTTTGACGACCTCAATTGGGTCATTCCAGAAAACATCCATACCACCCCCACAGAGTAAATAGGAAGTTAACGCCCTACCCCCTTCGGATGTCCTAATACATTTACTATTATCAGAAACAATTTTTTCTCCCCTCCCCCTCCGGACAGCAGAAATTTCCTCCGTGGGGGGAATATGGATCTTTTCAAGAACGACCCATTTTGACGGTTTTCGAGGGCTGGAAAATACCTGAACATAAACTCATCAATATTCGCATTACCACTTTGTGAAATGGTCAGATTCTGTGCCAATCCAGTAGGGCTCTCATTGCCCTGAATTTCAATCAATTTACAGGCATACTGATATGTATCTGCCAAATAACTGGACAAATGTTGAAGAGCAATGCCGGCTGCTTCTTGCTGAATTGTTTGGTTGTATATACCTGGCAGAGCTAGATCAAGTCCATAAACATTTTCCCTGGAGGTGACAATCTCATGCCACCATTCATTCAACAAATTTCGCTTTGTTTCTATACCAAGTGGTCCATAATCCAGCGTTGTATAAACATTTCCATGAGATAAATTGAAACTTCGTTCGAAAACGAAGCCTCGTGCTTTGCACAGATCATAGACTTTCGTCAAAACATCGCGTAATTTTGGCATGAAATTTCTCCAGACAAACTCATCAGAATATATAGCTAATGGGCCGGCTTGATACTCCTTCGATTGATAAACTCTTGTCCTCGTTTTTGACACTTTTTGTCACTTGAACTTTCAAAAATTGCAGCTGAACGTACTCATACTTGTATCCACAATTACTAGCCGCCTGGCATTACTAGCCTGCAGGCATCTTCTCCCCCTGGAAATCGGGTGTCGGAACCAGTGTCAGAACCACTGAGCTATACTATATTACTGGAGGACCTGCACGGGAAAAAAAGTGAAGCGCCAAAAACATGGCGGATTTCGACCTTTGCTGACGCCATTTCCATGACAACTCAGAGGAGGTTGGAAGCCCTTCCCGGCATGCATTGTAACTCATTAATATTATCGATTTTCCGGGACGCGCAGTCACTGTTCGACTAGTTCTCGTTGTGTTCACTACTCAATTTGCAAGGAGCGGTATTCAAAAGTACAAATTGAAAATTGTAAATCATGGCGAATTTTCGTACTGTTCGTGGCAACAAAGCTACTGATTTGGATGGACGTGACAATCTTTATGTACATTGTGTGTCGAAAGAGCGACTGGAGCCGCTTCGTGAAGGTTACATGCCGTGGCAGATTAAAAACCCGGAAGTGAACGCGAGGGGCATACGTCATTTTCACACGCGTCGTCGGTAACCTATTCTCAAATTTTCACCACAAATTTTAATTTTTGTAAATTTTATATAGTTCAAATTTTAAAAGAATCTTCACAGTGGAAATCTTGTAATAAAATTTTCGCTTTAAAAGAAACATCATGCTCTAGAAAGAGCCTTTGGAACCAGGGTACATACTCTATTGATATGAAATAAAAAAGATAGGTCACGCCGACTCCATTTTTCAGATAAAGACAATTTTGTGGCTAAAATAAGCTGGTTTTAAACCTTTGCCATGTTTCCATGGAAAGTCGAGCGACACTGTCAAAACCTGTTTTAAATATTCCACTGGTGTTAGATATTCCTGTCAAATAGAAAAGAATGCACGATCTGCATTATATAATAGGCCTGAACTGCAGATGTTGGGCGAATACTCCAAATAGGGACAACTGTAGGAAGCCACCTTAATAAGGGAAGGCGTATTTACCGTCTAAGTGTATGAAGTACTATTTAAAACACGCGTAGGAGTGTTTTATCATATTTAAAATGCGAGTGCCCAGCACGAGCTGACGAGCATTTTAGATATGATAAAGCACGACTACATGTGTTTCAGTTGAATAGCTTCAAACACGACTACAATAGATGCCGTCTTCTTCATATAAAGAATACTAATGAAGATGAGTTTTATCAGGTACACACACAAAAATCTCACATCTTGTAACAAGTTTGCCAACAAGCCGTCGACAAGATGTATTCGCACTGCTTGTCACAAGTTGTCAACAGGTTTGGAACAACTTGTTGCCAACTTGTAACAATCTTGTCAAAATTATCAGACTTGTTGCAAGGTTGTTCTGACAAGTCCGTTACATGCTCGATATAACTAGATTGTTACAACCGACCTTGTGTTGACAACCTTATAACATCCTTGTTATATCACAGCTGTAACAAACTTGTTAACACAGTCTTGTATAACAAGCCTGATAATGTCATCAAGCTTGTTACAAGTTGTTAACAATAACAGCTTGTTCCAAATTTGTTACAACAAACTGGGAACAAGCAGTACGAACACAACTTGTTGACAGCTTGTGAACAGACTTGTAGCAACTTGTTTGCAGACTTGTTACAAGCTGTGCGTTTTTACGCGTGTATATGAAGCCTCTTCACATGATTTGCCAATAAGCTTATGAATCATTAATGAGTGTTTGAATATAATTTCAAGTTGTTGGCAATCTCACTCGATTGAATAATAGTTGAAGGATCTTGTAGATGCAAATTATCGAGTGGATATTTATATACATTTATTACTGACCAAACCAGGAACACCTGCAAGAAATGCAACTATATAGACCCTCTGGCAGGAATCGAACCTGTGGCCCTGTGATTCCGGTGCAGCGCTCTAACCAACTGAGCTACAGAGAAGTCAATAGACCTTTCCCTTTTTTAAGTGAAATTTTGATCTAGACAAGTCTGGACAAAAATTTCATCATAGCTTGAAAGAGCATCACAAAATTAGTAATATTCCCGAAGTTTCGCTACGCAATGTTGTAAAATGCGGATAATATAGCCTTGCAAAGTTTGCCGTTTTTCAGTCATTTCAGATTACAAATGGGAAATTGATAATACCAAATGACTGAAAAACGGCAAACTTCGCAAGGCTATAGTATCCGCATTTTACAACATTTCGCAACAAAACTTCGTAATATTACTAATTTTAATTTGTGATGCTCTTTCACGCTGTAATGAAATTTTTGTCCAGACTTGTCTCAGATCAAAATTTCACTTAAAAGGGAAAAGGTCTATTGTCTAGCTCTAACCACAAGTTCATGTATATATACTAGGGTACTGCCATGTTTAGGTTATGTGTAAGTATCAAGATTTTGTTGGCATCTCACCCGATTCAATAAGAGTTGAAGGGTATTTTGGATGGAAATTATCGATAATTTTCACCTACAAGACCATTGAACTATTAATATAATATAGACGTTCGTTCGGTACCAAAGAATGCATGGTCTCCGCTTACGAGAGGTGGTGTCCACAAGACGAGATTCGGCACATGAGTGGAGCGGCGTATGAATCAATGTCGCTCCAACGTCGCATAATGCGACAAGCTCTGTCGAACTTGTGTCGAACTTTTGCCGCTCCATATTCTGCCGTACTTAATTCATTGATACGTCGCTTTTCTGCCGTACCTAATTCATCAATTAAGTTCGGCACATAAGTACGCCGTCTGAAACGAGCAAAACTCAACCAACTTTAGTCTAAAAATAAACTTATTTATTTTGAATTTTATTGAGCTTTCGCTGGCGAATGCGCCCCAACCTTGTAAATAACATAGTATTTGGTACGCCGTTTGAATCACTGCCGTTCTTGTGTCGCATCTAATACAATTAAGTTCGGCACATGAAGAGTATACGCCGTCTGAAATGGGCCTTACTACAAATAATAATTTTAATTAGGCCTACAATATTCAAGACGTGATTGGTGACTAAAAAGTACTAGATATTAGATAAAACAATATTGGTGCGGGCAAAGGCTGAGGATTTGACTCGAGCGCTTATCGCCTACGAAGGGAATTTGAACATCAGTGTTATCCCGGGGGTGGGACATTTGACTGACATTTCTGTAGATCCTACGAGAGGCAGTGAAGCATTAAATTCAATAAATAGTTATCTGGGCAATAATATTGTATCAATTGTTTTTCAGTATGGAGAAGGCTTATTCTGTCGTCCCTAGGTGGAGACTTTTTGATAAATTTGATTGATATTAGTCTCCCCACCCGAGGAAATGTTATCCAAAAATTTCAGCTCTTTTGTGAAATCACCCCCTTTGCCCCCCACCCCCCCGCGGAGTTTATATTGATAGGTGCATTAATGTTAAAACTTATGTTATATCGCGTCCGACAACTTCGGTGGAGTGTCTTATCAAAGTGTCAAATGTTTCTGTTAGGTTCAATTTTCAATGATACAAATTGTTCTGTTTCCCGGAGTTCCACAGGTACTGTTCCAGTCGTTGAAAACATGGCGGGCGAAGGCGGGCGAATGTCTGCAAATCCCAGTTTTTCTCGAAGCGTTCCAAATGTAAGTTCTGTTTGTTTCGGGTGTTGTAGTTGTGGATGTCAGAGGATTACTTAAATGCATAGCTTTCGTTGTTTTTGCATAAATTGGTAAAATTCTCGTCATTGCAATGACGATGATATACATACACGTGTAAAAGTCTCGGAGCTTGTCAACAAGATGTGCTCGCACTGCTTGTTCCCAGCTGTTCACAAGTCTGGAACAAGTTGTTATCATCTTGTCATGTTTTCATTGTGTCCTGACGCTGTATTCTGTTTTCGAAACTTGAAAAGTGAAAAGCGTATTTTTAAAAAACTTTATTTCGAGGCATTCGAGGAATAGTTTTGCATTCCATTTTACAATTTTCTCAGCCATTTCCTGAACAAATTAATGCTAAACAGAAACTATTTTTAAATTCTAACAAAGGTTAATGAGGCTAACAGACTCGCAACAAGTTGTTCCAGCAAGTCTGATGACAACAAGCTCGTAACAACTTCGTTGGAACAACTTGTAGCAAGTCTGTTACCGTCATCAACCTTGTAACAAGGTGACAACAACTTGTTCCAGACTTGTCACAACAACTGGGAACAAGCAATGCGAACACATCCTGATATCGGCTTGACAACAACCTTGTTATAACTTGTTTGCAGATCTCGAGCCAATTGCGTTTGTTACGGAAGTATATCTAAATAGTATAAAAATAGTTCAGTTTGCACCCCTGTATAAAAGTGTAGTTAGCGCTAACTGCAGTTAAAAAGTAGTTAAAAAGTGGTTAACTTTAATCACGTAGTTAAGCCAGTTGTATAAAAGTGTAGTTAGCCTTAACTGTAGTTAAAAAGTAGTTAAAGTTAACTATGCTTCAGGGTATAGTTAACTGTCCAAAACGTAGTTAAAAATGGCGTTTGTATAGGAGTGAACAACATTTTTCAGTAAAACAATAATGAAAAGCAACGCTTACCTGAGATTTTCAATCGCTATCTTTCCTGTGAATGTTTCCTGACAATATAAACTCTTCAAATGCTATGCTTTGGTATTTTTACGAAAACAGAACATATTTTTGCACAGGAGGATTTCTAGAAGACGAAGTATGGTCCATTACACCAAGAAACACTGATATATAATTGCCAAACAGCTATACCTTGGTTTAACGTAGACATCTCAAGGAAAAACTGCATTCTTTTATGATTTTTGTTGGCGGTTTTTCTTTATTTTTGTTTAGTTTTCACTGTTTTCTAGTGTTTTGAATAATATTATACCTCAAATTCAAATTGTCCAATGAAAAAACAGCATTTGTACCGCGTGATAATGTGATTTTTTACGGTATTTCACTCAAAATTCATGATTTCGCAATCCAGCGTGGGATACTATAATATCCCACGGCAGACCACCGTGGATAAAAGACCACTCGTAGTTAACTGTGCGTGGGGCTTGCGTGGGGCGTTTAAACAGAAAATTACATAAAGTAAGCAGCGAGTAACGACCGCTGACACACATTTTCAACACAATTGTGGACTCGTATTTTGCAATAGGCGGGAATTTTTATCATTTATAGACCCGGAGCGAGGGGGATTGTTCCTCTTTGTTTTAGCTTTATTTTATATAGCTTACACACTTAGCAATCCTCTTAAATGTATCTGGCGGTTGAGAAACACAAAATAATAGTTAAATATTGTCTATTTAGACATCTTACAGATAAAGCACTAAACATACTTTATAAGTTTGTTTGCCGCTCGAGAAACGTGTCAATATTCAGTTTAAAAAAATTGAATATACTTATAGCCAAGTGGAAAAGAATATTCATTAGTTTTGAGCGCGTATTACGTAACATACAAAACATTTTCCTCTTAAATATAATTGATTGCGAAAAAAAGTATCGATTAATTGGGAGCAGCCTTAGTCGCAATGTAGTAAGATTTATGTTATTTACAGTTACGTTATTCACAGCCTGCATGTCCAACCTCACAAATGGAGGCTTTCAGTCCAATGCTTCTGTGACCGGTAAATGTCCCGGGTTGATTTCCAATAAAGAAACAAATATCTCCGCGGCTTTTTTTTTGTTTCCAACTAGTTTGTTGGCATATCCTACAATATTATTATTATTATTATTAAGCTTTATTTCGCATGACCTATTTACAGGTATTGCAGCATTTATCTAAAATTTATAAAACTAGTGTATATAAGAGTGGTCAGAAATGACCTAAAGTATCTAAAATAATGGTCAGGAATGACCTAAATATCTATAATAATGGTCAGAAATGACCTAAAGTATTTATAATAATGGTCAGAAATGACCTAAAGTATCTATAATATATAATGGTCAGAAATGACCTAAAGTATGTATAATAATGGTCAAAGATGACCTAAAGTATCTATAAGGATGTATAAAGTATCTATAAAGTATCTATAATAGTATATACATGCAGTAGTTAGTTTATTTATCCTACTGCGTTTTGTTCCATGGATCTGAGACTATTTTCTCTGTTAGCAAAACACGTGGAGATAAATTCGGAAAAAGATTAATGATTACTGGATCGTTGGAAATCGTTGTGTGTTGCAATAATTTTCGTTTACTTTCATTTGTTACATTCAGATCAAATATTTTTTTCAAAATCGGATCTGAGTTGTCTCGAAGTTGATTAATTGTATTTTTGGCATGCAAGACTGAAGTGAAAATCATCTTTTATTTCGCCAGAATTGCACAGTTTGCAGGTGCGTTCTTCACGAGGGATATTTTGGTATCTCCCGTTTACAGAGCCAGAGAAGTCTTTGTAGTACATTGAAAATTACGTTTAACATAATTCTCCAATCGAAGCGCAACTTCTTGGGATTTTCCCACTTCATTCAATTTCATATGCGTTAAAATTAACTCGTAGAAAGCGTGAACTGTCAATGGGATGGTAATACTGCCACTAGCTTCAATTTCACGACGAAGGTAAACGTCTAACAACCGCTTGGCTACGTCCGTACAGCCCAGCATAGCTGAGTTATCCGCTCTTTGAATAACATTTTCAAAATGTTCAACAGCTTGATGATAACGTTCCAATTTCAACAAAAGTGACCCAAACGAGCTTTCTACAAATGGTATCAATTCGGCAGTCTTTTGAAGCAGTTTCTGGAACAAATTAAGGGCAAGGTTCATCTGCCGTTCGCAGAAATCTTGGTTTTTTATGTCAACTGCTAACGCTTTTGATTGATAAAGCCCAGCCAGAGTTGCCACAAGGCTTTGGTCAAGGGTCAAATCTTCATCCAGTTCAAAGCATCGTTCATAACACTGAATTGCACCATCAAGATTCCCCCTTTCGAATGCCATTATCTTTCCCAACGAACGGAAAATGTAATGTTGATTTGCAAAAGAATATCCTGCAAGGGTTGCGCATTGGGCATGAAAGGACTTGTCCAGAAATCCCTCTTTAGTTTGAAACACTCTAAGAAATGCGAGGAAGTATAACTGTGATTCATTTCCTCTATCCATTTCCACTAATTCATTTCCAGCTAGGCGCAAGCATGAAATTACCATTTCGATCAAGTCGGGTGATTGCGTCTCGTTCGTGTAGTATTTTAGTGCAAAGGTGTACTCCTTAAGCACGTAATACAATTTGAAAATATTTGCTGGAGATAACGGAAATTCACAATTCTGAAGTTGCTTCGGTCTTCGTCACTCAAAAGAGACAACAACTCGCGATGACAGGCCTCGATAAGGTATGGGATACTGGAAGGACGTTTCCCGTGAATTGCATCATGAACAACTACTGGGTTAGCTGTCAGCATCTCGCACGCAGCTACTGCTTCTCTTCTCTTTCCCACTCCAACAAACACTCGGACCATTGTGCAGTACATACAATGTTCAACAGTTGTCAATAGCTCGCCGTCAACTTCGACGCTTTTCTGTATGCCCGGACCATAAAAGACACGTGAAAAATAGGCACAATACATAAACATATCTGACAGTTGTTTGCCTAAACTGATCATATCCTGAAGCACATCATCAGCCTCCGTGTTCACATAGAAAGTTGGCGTAGCTTAGATTCTTCTGAAGTACAAAGTCCTCTGCAAAGCCTGGATCGGTAAGGTAATACCGTTTTGCAAGATTTAGCTCCATGTTTCTATCTAAGGCCGAGTTAGTTGAATTTATAGTTGGTGCATTTGGGCCAGACAAAGTAGCATTCTGCCGCGATTGTTTATTCGATCAGTGACATTGTTATAACCCATCAAATCGCATATTTCTAAACCAGTTTCTGCCACAACAATCGCTTCTTCAGTGCGCCCGAGGCCCATGTAGAGATATGCCAAAATTTTTAAAAACTCGTAGACGTTGTTTAAATCATTGCCATGCTTTACCGACACTTCTTTGGACATATCAACAGCCTGTTGAAACGGAGAGCGACTTTCGTGACTAGTACCACTGGATTTGGTAACAGTAATTGCCTGCAGCAAAGGAAGAAATTCTTCATAAAATGACAATATATTGGGAAGAGCAGATGAGAAAAATGCCTAGAGTGATTCACTCAGCCAAGTAATAGATCGCTTTATTTTATCACGCATAACTAACACTCGACCAATCCATGAAAATAGGCGACGATATATACTTAGAAACTCAGGCTTGCCTGCAACCATTTGCAAATTTTGCCAATTTGCAGAAAGAGATTCAAATGCGTCGGGAATGTTCATCAAAAATTCCTGCGTCTCTTTCAAAATTCGTTCTGCTTCTTCTTTTTTACGTAACTTTAAAAAAACAACCGCCAACAAAAGTTGCACTTCACATTTCAAGGCAAAACATTTCCCAGGTTCCGAGGTTCCAAGTTCTTCCATCAGTTCACTGGAGTTCCTTGTCTGATCAACGTCCAGGCTCAAGATAAGAAGAGCTTGTTGACACAAAGAGCAAGCTTGGGCAAGCTTATCATCTTTACTTTCTTCTGCACTTTCTGACAAAATATCCTGGCATTTTGCTCCAAGGTAAAGCAACTCTATCTCTTGCAGATGTATGGATTCTCTATGTTCATGATTAGACACCAGTTTTATCGCCTCTCGACATTTCAACCATGCACCCGCTACATTCTGGCACAGCGTCTCGCTTTTTATTAAGCCAATCAACACTTCTGAATATTCACACAGGTCATCACGGGTTTCTACTGTCTCCCTGGAATAAATGCAAGCGGCTTCGTTGAAATTAATTGTAGCAGTTCGGAAATCGCCCCTGGATAAATAACATTCCCCACGCAATTTAAGAGTCTTGGTTTTTTCTCTCCAGTTAGATGGCAGCTGTAAAGCAAGATCTAAAGATCCAATGCCACTACTAAGTCTGTTGTCTTCCTTCGCTCTGATCGCGTCGCTGATTAACTTTTCAACACTATCACAGGGACAGCTTTCATAAAAAGATAACTCATGAGCTTGAAGAGAAGTGTATATTTTTACAGCCTGATGGACATTGCCTTTCTTCCGGTTATACTCGAGAGCATCTAAATAAGTACTTCCAGGTTGGATGATTCTGGATTGAGTGAAGCATCATCACGAAATTATTCAAGTTCAACAGGGAGATTAGTTTGGGACACTGTTTGCGTTGGAAGCCTACAGTCTTAGGATCTGAAGAATCAATTTCTCGAGGCTTCACACCATCGGAAGTTGGAATTAACAACTCTACATTTTGCCGACCATTGCTACAGTTCTCCGACGTTTTTGAGTCTTCAGCCAAGGTATCTTGCCGTTCCTTGTGATGTTTCTGATGTTCAAGGAATCTATTCCAATCAGCAAGCACTTCCTTCATAATAGAATATTTATCTGACGGTAAAAACTTCTTTGATGGTAATATTTCTTTCATGATGTCACACGTAATTGTTTTGAACGGTAGTTTTTCTCTTTCAACACTTTCCTGAATTTCGGTAAATAACTGACTTGCCATCACGATTAAAGTTTCGGCTTTTTCCAGGTCACCTAAGGTATGGAACAATATGCCTAGACAAGTAAAACATGTGGCAGCGACTGTTTTTGCGGTATTGTTTGTTGGAGCCTTGTCCTTCTGAGCAGATAAAAGGAATTCGTGAGCACGTTCGACAATACCAATACCGACGCGATATTGGAAGGAATAAAAGGCCAAGATCATCAAAATCAGGGATATATTTTCATGAAATGGGTTTGATAAATGCAGTCCCATCTCCTTGCTTATTAGATGCTCTATAGACTTTATAAAGGCTTGCAAATCGCCTTTCTTTAGGTAGGTGTGCAAAAGTGTCTCTTCAAGTTTCTCGATGCCCGCCTCATTTGATTTATTTTCAACAAAAGTCTTATCGTTTCACTTGAGTCCACTGACTGGTACTCTACAACCAGCTTTAAAAACATTTTAACAGTTGACGAATCAACTTGTCCGGTTGCTAGATGTTGCCGTAATGCTTCAGCCAGTGCTGTAGAAGTGGGGGGTCGCTTGGGGGCGGAGCCCCCCTTCTTCAAGCTCTGGGGGGGGGGGGCTGAGCCCCCCTTCTACTTTAGAAAATCGAGAATTTATTAAGAACACTATTAAACAAAACTTGACTACTTTTCCATGAAGGAGAATCAAAATTATTAAAATGGCGTCCTTAATAAATCGATACTTTATCTTGTTTCAATGTTTCATATAATTATGCATTTATGCTCTGTATTTTCGAACATCTATGACGTCATCAGGGACCGCGGAGCAGGGGGACCTGGAGGGATTTACCCCCCCCCCCCCACCAGGATCTCATTTGCAATCTTAACAAAAATATTTAATTTTGATTTTAAAAAACTGCAGCAGGATTAGTCAGTTTGGACTTTTTAAAATACGTTAAGTTATTCTTTGCACATAATTATGTAGATTAGTTCAGTCTTCATTAGTACGCTGGACTGGTGTTTGTTTCCATTTATTATTTTCTTGTTATGTATTAATGGGCTCGCACTTTCCAGAAAAGCATTTCTAAGAAAGGTAGGGACGATAAGTACGGAAAACGCAATTTAAATTACTCTTAAATACGGCATTAAATTTCGAAGAAAAAATCTATTCCAGGAAAATGTACCAAGCGAATACATTTTACCCCTATATAATGGCTTGCTTAAGAGTCGTTCAAGAAACTTTTTTAAGAGAAACTAGCAGGTTTTATTGCATTTCCGTGGCTCTGAGAGGTCTCATATTTCAAAATTTTCTGGACCCCCCCAGAAGGGCATACCTTTGGCGTTCGCTAACCC